GCTATAATTTGAAAACAAAGGGGATTTAAATAAACGTATATTAATGTTGTAACAAGGGTACCAAGAAGAGCCAGGGAACTTTCACTCTAGTCGAGTAATTACTGCAAAACCTGCATATTGCCTAAAGCTTTTGATCATGCTTAAATATACTGTATATGTGTTTGAATAAACAGTTAAAGCTAAGTCTTCCATATTCTTTATGGTGGAAAACAATACTATGAAAACTCAAATATGAACATACCCACACATGATAATGGTAATCAGAGCTCTCAAATGGAAAATAAAAAATACATCAAGTCTGAGTAGCATGTTGCGCAGAAATGAGAAAAAGGCCATCAGAGCTGCGGGATGGAGAAAGAGACAGACAGAAAGAAGGCAAAAAAAAAAACAACCTGGTAGCCTGACAGTCATTTCATATTAATATCCTACATTAAGAGCCCCAGTGATGAATAATTAATCTGCTGGAAAATGTAGTGACTTGTGCTCCTGGCAAGCTAATGCAATGTAAAATAAAGCCTTATGAATGTACACAATGGAGGTTTGATGTGTAGTACTGTACGCTTGGATGACTGGGCTTGAGTTTTAGTTAAAAAAAAAACAGCTTGTGCATGACATTAACTTTATAACACAAACACAAAACTGCATCTTTGAGTGCACCGGCCATAGTTTTATATAATTAGAGGTTATTTGACAATGCGGTGTGTAATCTTCCAAGCCGATGTGAAGTGTGGCGTGGGAAATTGGACCATACTACTCTGACAGTGTGGTGACTCAGCTCACATTAAAACCTAGATAGAAGAGTGGCGCTCCTGAATCTGGCTGCTCCCAGCTGGAGTGTTGCCTTCTGCCTGCTGTCACTCAGTCTGCTGACTGTCAAAACCCACAGCACATGCAATATGTCAGCTCGGTACCTGTTACTATACACTACATCATACATACATTTATGACCGCCAACAACAGCTATGTAGGTTCGAGGTATGTCACACTTGTATTGATAGGAGTAATGTTAGTTTTGATTGTGAATGTGTCCATATTTGCTGATGTATTGTGAAATAGTTGTTCACCCCATATGCAATGCTCAATCATTTTTACTTCAGCACCACAAATTAGAACATAATTTATAGTTGACAATGAAATGATACACTTTATATGTTTCTCTTCCTTCCATATTTAGCCATCTGGATTATCTCTACATCCCTCTCAGCCTCTGTCTCTGCTGTGTCTTACTCTTCTTAGGATAAATATGACCAGAAGTAGTTAGAGATGTTTTTTTTCACTTTCGATTTTCGTTTACTTATTTAGAATTTCCTCATTTGTTTCAGAGATAATTTATGCAACAAGGTTCAGAGTATTTTTAAAGACAGGGTTTATCAGCAAGGTGAGTGCACATATGACTGTTTATGTTTTCACAAGTAAATTTAGTGTCTCATTGAGAAACTTCCCCCTGTTATTTAAAGTGACATTTGAATCTCTATGTTAATGTATGTTTATGTGGATGTTTTGTGTGGGAATTGCCTCCACACACTCCTCTGTGTCCTGTAAAAGTGAGACTAGAGGGAAAATGCAAAAAAAAAAACTTTTCAAAATTCCAATAAATCATTCATATGCTCTTGGGACATAGTAGGAAAATGTGTGTATGATGAAATAAGTGAACCAATCTCTGTCTTTCTTCACATTATGCCTCTTGCAGCTATGTACCCTTGCTGACACCAGCTCAACAGATAATGCTGTAAGGGTACTAAGTTAAATTTATCTTTTTTAAATAAGGATGCCTGTACAAACCTTCTGCAGTGCTTAACAATCATGAAAGACGCTCATAAGAAGGCTGCGGTAATCAAGACTTTTTCTAGGTGATGGACCCTCTTATGAAGTGCACACAGTGCAGACTCCTCTGTTTCCATGGAGACCTATTGTGATCTATACTTGCAAACATTCCTCTGAAGCCTTCCCCCCCCCTCCCCCCTCCCCCTCTAAGCAAACACTTTAGTGGATAGTGCTCCTGGCAAGCTAATGCAATGTAAAATAAAGCCTTATGAATGTACACAATGGAGGTTTGATGTGTAGTACTGTACGCTTGGATGACTGGGCTTGAGTTTTAGTTAAAAAAAAAACAGCTTGTGCATGACATTAACTTTATAACACAAACACAAAACTGCATCTTTGAGTGCACCGGCCATAGTTTTATATAATTAGAGGTTATTTGACAATGCGGTGTGTAATCTTCCAAGCCGATGTGAAGTGTGGCGTGGGAAATTGGACCATACTACTCTGACAGTGTGGTGACTCAGCTCACATTAAAACCTAGATAGAAGAGTGGCGCTCCTGAATCTGGCTGCTCCCAGCTGGAGTGTTGCCTTCTGCCTGCTGTCACTCAGTCTGCTGACTGTCAAAACCCACAGCACATGCAATATGTCAGCTCGGTACCTGTTACTATACACTACATCATACATACATTTATGACCGCCAACAACAGCTATGTAGGTTCGAGGTATGTCACACTTGTATTGATAGGAGTAATGTTAGTTTTGATTGTGAATGTGTCCATATTTGCTGATGTATTGTGAAATAGTTGTTCACCCCATATGCAATGCTCAATCATTTTTACTTCAGCACCACAAATTAGAACATAATTTATAGTTGACAATGAAATGATACACTTTATATGTTTCTCTTCCTTCCATATTTAGCCATCTGGATTATCTCTACATCCCTCTCAGCCTCTGTCTCTGCTGTGTCTTACTCTTCTTAGGATAAATATGACCAGAAGTAGTTAGAGATGTTTTTTTTCACTTTCGATTTTCGTTTACTTATTTAGAATTTCCTCATTTGTTTCAGAGATAATTTATGCAACAAGGTTCAGAGTATTTTTAAAGACAGGGTTTATCAGCAAGGTGAGTGCACATATGACTGTTTATGTTTTCACAAGTAAATTTAGTGTCTCATTGAGAAACTTCCCCCTGTTATTTAAAGTGACATTTGAATCTCTATGTTAATGTATGTTTATGTGGATGTTTTGTGTGGGAATTGCCTCCACACACTCCTCTGTGTCCTGTAAAAGTGAGACTAGAGGGAAAATGCAAAAAAAAAAACTTTTCAAAATTCCAATAAATCATTCATATGCTCTTGGGACATAGTAGGAAAATGTGTGTATGATGAAATAAGTGAACCAATCTCTGTCTTTCTTCACATTATGCCTCTTGCAGCTATGTACCCTTGCTGACACCAGCTCAACAGATAATGCTGTAAGGGTACTAAGTTAAATTTATCTTTTTTAAATAAGGATGCCTGTACAAACCTTCTGCAGTGCTTAACAATCATGAAAGACGCTCATAAGAAGGCTGCGGTAATCAAGACTTTTTCTAGGTGATGGACCCTCTTATGAAGTGCACACAGTGCAGACTCCTCTGTTTCCATGGAGACCTATTGTGATCTATACTTGCAAACATTCCTCTGAAGCCTTCCCCCCCCCTCCCCCCTCCCCCTCTAAGCAAACACTTTAGTGGATAGTTGCCAAAACTGGTGTGAGGGGTCAAAGGTAATTTCATCTTCATTGCTAACATGATGCTGAGTTCAAGCAACATTACGGCTGCCTTCTGGCTGCCTGCCTGTGCAAACTGTGCCATCTACTGGGCATGCAACAAGGAGTCTATGAAGAACTGAGCTAATTTTAGGTGCAGTAATATGTAGACCAGGTGTAATGCATATGACCTACCTAGCCTGCTCTGCTTGGCTATGTATTAATTCAGCAGTGATGGATCTTACTAGACCCTTAGAGAAGCTGAACCAGTAGCTCACATGCTTTATACCAGTGTCTAATCCCATTCTGACTTTATTTTTGTTGGCAGGAATGTCTGCTGAAGCTCTTGTATTCTCTATATAGACATTCTGTCTCTTTTTTCTGTTAATACATGACAGTTGTAGACAGAAGGTAGGGCAAACTGATTTCTCCCCATTAAACAGTTTGGTTAACGGCTATTCAGATGCGCGGTTACGGTTTATTAACGTAAACATCTCTTGGTGCCTCAGGGCCCAGACCTATTTCACCGGTTGTTCAGGAAGTCTTATCAGAACTGAAATCCATGAGCACAGTAAAAGGTAGAAAAATAATTTATAGTGCTTCCAAAAAATGGTATTCATGTTACATTCAGGTCTGGATCTTCACAATTCCCACTTGTGAAAGAGAATACCAGATGGGGCCACTGCAATTATGTTCTGTATGCACATGCTAAGGCCTGCTCATTTATTTATACATTACACAGGAGGAAGCTTGGAGTTTCACAAAGTTGGAGCTTTTTGGATTTTATGGCTTTCCTTTCCCAGATGCAACGCTCTTTTCACGACTTTATTATTTCTTTGTGCTATTTTCAGTTTCTCAGCAAACTCGCATTCACCCTGTCTATTTTGAGAACCTTGCAGACTCAAATCAATAAATCTGTATGTCATGGTGGTGATGTCTGCTTCAGCTACATATGATCGGAGTCAAGGAGGGATGAAGTGCACAGTTTCTGACCTCTGAGAGTTGAACTGTAATCTGTTGGGGGGTGGGAAATGCTTTGTTCTGATATTTCCTACAGTTCCCAAGCAGAGTGGCACCTCATTAAGATGATTGCCAGCAGTGTGTGTGTGGCAGAGTGAGGGGGAAACAGGAGCTGATATAAAATTTCTTTCTATGACACGCAGACTGCCTGGTAAATAATGCATTAGAATGTGACTTTGGTGATGAGCACACAACAAGTGAAGAGGATGAATGAAAAACTCCATTTTTAAAAAGGACTGCTTAATATGCAGAACCATGTGGTTTTGTGCCATAATGATTCATGTCAGCCTCACAAGGTGGTTAAACCTTAAAAAGCTGAGAAAACTGGTAGCTTTAGAGGCTTTATTATTCTCAGCTTCACCTATTCAAACCATCAACCTCCTGACCTAGAATTTTAATTCAAAAATGCAAATGTAGTCTTTGCCATAGTGGATGGTGTCCCACCCGGCCGGGGCGTGGTCTTTGTTAGGAGGTGGGGGCAGGCAATACGCTGTTAAGTTTTCAAAGTGCCCATTTAACAAACGTCCAAATAAGAAAAGTTGGTTCCCAAGCTGGAAACAGGGGAAGTCACATTGGAAGAGAAAAGGTGTAGGACTGCTCCTTTCTGGGACTAGATTACACTACGTGGAAGACTGATTCTAATTAAGCAGTGTTTTTTTTTTTAGCTTTTTGACACTTAAGCAGTCTTTTTGTAAAATTGTATGCGTATTATAGTGCCACATTGTGTATTGCTAAAACGATTAAGAAGACAATGTTTGGAGTTAAAAATACTCATTGATTAATCTGATTTATTGTGTCAGAGCACAAAGCACTGCCTGCTTCATCTGGAGCGCCCGCCCATTGGGCTTTCTGCGGAGTGATAGTGGGAGATTGATTGTAGTCTCTGGGATTTGCTGAGGAGAAAACCGGAGTCTGCTTGGACTGCGATTTGCTCTCCCATCAGTGAAGGGGAGAAAAATAGCAACGACTTATGCCAATCTGACTTTATACCACAGATACGATCCCCTGTCGGCTACACATCTAGAAACCCGTCTTTAGGTGGCCTATCCAAATACGTCTAAGTCACGCTGGACTTTGGTTTTTACCGAGGACGCTGCGAGAGTGAATCGCCTCCGCAGTCTCGGATGCGTAAACGGGGAGTGAGTGGGTTGGGTCGCCTTGGAGCCTGGCATACGCATATCGTCAGCGTTAAAAGCAGATAGGTGAGGGTGAAAGCTGGGGGAAGCGGTACCCGATGCTTTTAAGCAGAAGGACGCAGGAGAGGTGAGTGGGACACTTGCAAACCGCCGGAATCACCGGCTGTGGATTTGCCTCTCAAGATCAGCCTCCGGCTGCTTTTGTCTCCCAGGATTCGTGGACCTTCTTCTTTCTGATTCAGGACCAGTGGTTAACCACACTGTCAAAACCGACCAGACATCGCCTCCTCATCTACTAGGAATATTAGAAGTGAATCCGCGGGGCAACACACAATGGCCACCGGTGCGCTCGTTCTTGCTTGTGCGCTGCTTGGTAAGTCATCTGAAGAAGATGTCAGCCTACATTTCTGCTGTGAATTTTCTTCTTTTGTTTACATTAACTAGGTTAATCAGCGCCTAATGTTTCCCAGTCACCGCACACCTGTGTGAGAAACCTAGATGTTAACGGGTTACTTAGGAAAGCAACTCCTAGTCATCATGAGTCAGGGGGAAGTAGAGTAGACTACTTCTATAATCACTGCAATAATAACAGATGCCTGAGAACAGCTGTGTGCGCGCGTGTGCCAGCTGAACTAGGTTAATGTGATATTTGGTACTTTATTTACAGATTAACCCTATACAGTCTGACCTCCCGTGTTCACAGCCTGATATTTGAATACACAAATTAGTACGCACATCATAGATACACCTGGAAAACACGTCAGCAGCACCCCAGGGTATGAAGTCATCCAGTGGATGTGAAAACACCTAGTACCAGCTTTGTCATGCAGGAAAACAGCCCTTCTGGTGAAGCTACTGTGTTCAGTACCCACACATTGTTCGCTTCTCCTGTGGTTTATTTGCACAAGCAAGTTCAAGAATACACATCCAATGTTACCCAGGGACACAAACAAACATTCTTACTGGCATGATTGCTGACACATGCATACGCACAGTACATCCTGCTTGTGAACTGTCCCAAACAAACACCAGATGGTTTCTCTGTTCCTGCATGGGGAGGTCTGTCAGTGCTGCTGGCAGCACAGACGAGCAGGGGGGCGGGAGTGGGAGTGCAAGTCGGCCCATTGGAGGCCCCCACTTGGCCATCAGGATTACCAGTCTGTGCCTTGCTTCAGGACCCCTTTCAACGCTTCAGTCACTTTGGGTGCTGTAAAAGAGTTTTCCCAGTGAAAACGTGAGATGTGTTGTTAACTGTACAGTAGAGAAGAGCGAACACAGTCACAATACAGATCATATCTAGAGCGTAGGCTGGGTAACGGAGGGTTTTTGTATTGCATAATAATCATGAATCATGTGGTTAAATGGGAAGCAGTTTGAGGTGGCAAAGAATATTTCAGGTGCTCGGAACGAGGTTTTATGTGGTGCGTGCATGCATCATTGGCATAAATCATCAAAGGACTCAAGATATTTTCTAAAGCTATTTGATATGTTGCCAGCATTAGTGGTGATATGGAGCTGGCAATTCTGCAATATGAGATATAATGCAAACAAATTCTTCACATTTGACAGTTTGCAATTTAACAGAAAAACTTCTGATAGTCATTTGTATGTTATATTTATGCAAAAAATAGCAAAACTATCTGGCTCTAACATCTCAAACATAAATATAATAATAGTTTTGAGTCTTTTGTGAAAGTACACTCAGTATATTTGGGCTTGGACTGTTGGTTGGATGAAACAGGGTATTTGATTTGATGTCAGATCGGGTTTTAAGAACTTTTGATTGGTATTTTTTCTGTAGTATTACAAATTTAATGACAAAACAATTAACTGGTAACCCTGGCCATACTAAAATAATCATTAGATATAGCCATAAAATCAGTGTGTATGGTAACATTAAGTGGAAAACCTATCTCTAAAATGACCAGATTGGTTCTTAAAAGCAAGAAGCAATCAGATTTTTTTTCCATTAGACTAAAAAGTTGTCAGTTTAAAGTGTAATGCAACTTGATATATGCTGCATGCAGCATGACACGAAGCTGTAATCAGCACTTAGATCAACAGGTACACATTTAAAAAATATTTAAAACCATCATATCAGTGTCATATCGTCACACCAGTAATGCTGTGGTAGTGCTAATTTATTAATAAGAAACCACAACTGAATTTATATCGGTATTGACATATCAATGATTTATAACTCTTCTAGAGGCAAATATAAGTGCAGGCATCTGTGCTAAGTGAGAGGTGTTTGTCCGTCTTTTGTGTTTGCCTAGCTTTTATTTGGCTACACGTCAGCCAGCACATGTGTTTCCACGTGCATTTCTTTATAAAAAAAAAGAATGAAATTACGGCGGGTGACAGCTGTGTTATGGCAAGTAGTACATCAGGCATTGTTAAGCCCAGAGGTACCATTTACACAATTTCTTGTCAGGAAAATGTTATATTGGGGTTATTTATGCTGCTGAGTTTGTAGCCAGGTGTGAGTGTGCACGCTTATATGTAGCACGGAGGTATATGACACAAGGCGTATAAAAAGATTCGCCTGAAGGAATCAATGTTTATTAGGATTTACAAACAGGATGTCTTCTTCTTCTACAGAGAGTGAGAAGATGATGTGTTTGGTGTGGTGTAACATTGTGTGCTTTTCTTGGTTGTGTATCTGTTTGTGTAAGTGTGTGTGTTTGAAACAGGGAGCAAACTTAAAGTAGTGAATATGTCCCAGTTTATATAACTACATTGAAAAGTGTAATATGGATGAGCCTGGCTGGTTTAACTGTGAAATGCCTGAGCGGTTTCCATTTGCCCGGGCTGACAGCAGAGCAGCCTGCAGTCGACTAGGTTCTAATGAGCTGCCACTGGTCCTGTTTATCAGCTGGTCTCAGAGCAGCTTCTCATTGTACAGAGGAAAATCCCAGATACATATATATATATCTTTTGATTAGCTCTGCCAGCTCAGTAGGACAGATGCTGTTTTCACCCTTGTTGATGCAATATCTGAGCATTTTTTAAATGAACAAAACCTACATGAGAAGGTTGGTTGTGCAGATGGGAAGGAAGTGATACATTTTTCAAATGTTTTGGTTAAGTGTGGGCTGTGGCCTCTTATGTAAAAGGAACATGACATAACCTTTATACCTAGTGCATTTTCATGTCCTAATATTCAACAGAAGTCAGATGCTTAAGACCATGTAGCAGTGAATTTGGATGCTTTACTAATTTGCTATAAACGTAGCCCCAGCTTGTGACTCTCATGTATTGCATACATTCAAGTCACAGAGTAAATCTTCCGTGAGCTTTCGGAATTGAAACGTGCCAAACATTTTAACTCCGTACTGTGGTTTTATAACACTCACCCAAATTTTAAAGCTATTTCCCAAATCCTCAGACTCTTCTAACGATGTGGAATCAAAAATAATCCGGTCCAGTCCAGGGAAACTATACATTCAATCAGTTTCTCGGGTCATACAGTTCCTTTTAGGTTAAGCAAAGATGGTGACAGGACATGTCGTTGTCTATCTGGCTTTGTGTGAGAGCAGCTCGAATTCATGAATGTATTATTTAAACAATTTCAATAATTTCACTTAATTGTCAATAATAATAGGTTTCAATAATGCAATCATCGGGAGGAGGCCCCGAGGAAGACCCAGGACACGCTGGAGGGACTATGTCTCTCGGCTGGCCTGGGAACGCCTCGGCTCCCCCGGAGGAGCTGGAGGAAGTGTCTGGAGAGAGGGTGGTCTGGGCATCTTTGCTTAGACTGCTGCCCCCACGACCTGGTCCTGGATAAGCAGAGGAAAATGGATGGATGGATAATGCAATCATAGGCAACTTTCACAAAAAAAAGTGAGATGGTATCATGGGTATAAAAATATATTGGCAGACTCTAAACATGTCATGTCTGCATTCATTTTCTATTCTATATTGTATTATAGGCTGTAGTTAAACTGCATTTCGACACAACAACAATGCAGCCTCAGTGAAACTGGAATAAAAGATCATACACTGCAGACTTAATGGTTCTCTGTGATGGAATATACAAATCAAGACTCTGTGCAGAAATATATAAAAACCAGGGACTACCTGGAAAGTTAGAAAGATGCATTAGAAAAATGTTAACACTAAAATTGTATCAAGTATACATCCTCCTCCCTTTCCTTCCCCTTTGTGTGGTAGATGATTTCTTGCTTTTTAAAATCTTTTAGTGAGAAGGTGAAACACTGGCTTGTTATTCAGGCTCATTACGTTGTTATTGATAGAAAAGAGAACGGTTTTAAGTAACTTTAGTAATACAATCAAGCATTGATCGTATCGGCAGATAGAGTATTAAACTAGTCCTGCATAATTGGCCCAATTAAACATTATAAAAGTACTGAAGAGCTCACTTCCATTTTAGGAATAACTGCTTTTTTTTCCCCAAACTTTTGTACAGTGTAGTAAGGGCAGCACTTACCGTCACTTAATTATAGATTTGATTGTTCATCTGGTGCTGTGACAATTTTCCCAATGGCTTGAAAGTGGTTGAATCATCTCATTTTCTTTTTTCAACATGCTTATTAAAATGTGTGCGTACATTATTTGAAACAATATTATATTTATTAGTGAATGAAATCAGAAATCTACTACATGGAATTGACTAATCTAGACAGCTGCATAGGGCTTCACAAACAGCCGTCTAGTAATTTGGAAGAAATGTAGGATGCCTGCTTCTTTCATAAGGTCATGCATGAGGTTGAAGGGGGGCGTAAGTGGTGTTAAAAAAAGTTAGCTGCATGTGTCGTGATTGTTTACTGTATGTTGGCTGTTCTTTAATGGTCATGGTTATGTGGAGATCAAGTCGGAGGCATTTCAGACTTTTTCAGGAGTGCCATGCCACTCCCTCAGGCCTGCCCCAGCCTCTCCTCTGTCCCAGATAAGAGTGACAACTGGAAACCCCCACCCCGGAATGACAGGGAATTTAAGTTGTGTGTGTGTGTGTGTGTGTGTGTGTGTGTGTGTGTGTGTGTGTGTGGTCAGTGAAGCCATGCGTCATCTTGCTGTGCATCTGGAGTCAGCTGTTACCACACTGGGAATGCTTTCCATGTGTTTGTAAGCCTCAGCTGACACAAGAGAGAGTGCTGGCTAGACAGTAAAGCGAAATGCATTAAATCACTGTCTAGGTTTTTGTACAGCTGTTCTATATATTTTATTGATTACAGTAAAAGTAAGTTGGCTCTAAACTAATGTAAAATGACAGTTGAGCTTAAAACAACCACAAAGAGTTGCCAAATGCAAAACACAAATGGGGACGGGTAGAGCAGTATTCTAGTATTTGTCTTGTGGTACATTACAGAACTACAAGCCACAATTAAAGAGCTAGGTTTCATCTTTAGT